TGCAGTAGAAAGGTCAAGTGTTGATCAAAAACAATACCAAGAAACTTGGCCTCTTTCACAACTTTGATAGGAGCTCCATCCAGTACTAAATCTGGGTCCTTATGTGGCTTTTATTTTCTGCAAAAATGAATGCAGTTGATCTTGGCTTTTGAAAATTTAAAACCATTTTCAAGACACCATTTATGAATCTTATTTAAACACAACTGCAACTGCCTTTCAATAGTATTCATGTTTTTACCACGACAAGAAATATTAAAATCATCCACAAAAAGTGATCCACCAATCGAATCATTTAAAACCTTTGATAAACTGTTGACTGTTTACGCTAAACAAGGTAACAGACAAAATGCTTTCTTGTGGGACACCCTGATCTTGATTGTAATGGTCAGACAGGGTAGAGCCCACTCGGACTTGAAATTGTCTGTCTTCTAAAAACTGAGATATAAATTGGGGTAAACGACCCCTCAAGCCAAAGTCATGGAGATCTTTTAGAATTCCATACTTCCATGTCGTATCATATGCCTTTTCAAGGTCGAAGAAAATTGATACAGCATGCTGTTTATTTAAGATGGAATTTTTAATAAAACATTCTAAACGTACCAAATGATCAATGGTACTTCGATTTTTGCGGAAACCACATTGAATGTTAGTGATGAGGTTGTTGGTTTCCAGGTACCAAACTAAACGATTATTAAACATACGTTCCATAGTTTTGCAAACACAGCTAGTAAGTGATATTGGTCGGTAGTTAGAGGGATCAGAATGATCCCGACCCGGTTTAGGGAAAGGAATGATAATACCATTTCGCCATGATGAGGGAAAATGACCAGATATCCATATATTATCAAAGATATTCAACAATGTTTCTAACGACGATTCAGTTTGGAGCTCATGAATGGAAAAGAATTCATTATAGTCCTCCCCGTTGTCTGAATTAAAGTTAAGTTTCTTTTTTTCTTGTTGGTCTTTAAATGTCTTAAAGGCAGGTAAATAATTAGACGAAGAGGAATGTTTAGCAACCGTTTCACTAATTTTATTGGCAATATCAGATGTTTCAGTTAGAATAGTAATACCCTCCTTGAGATAGTGAACAGTACACTTTGATCCCTTACCTTTAATTTTCAGTACCATATTCCAAACCTTAGAAATTGGTGTTCGTGAGTTGATTTTAGAAACATAGTTTTGCCATGACTGTCGTTTATGTTGCTTAAATGTGCTACGAGCCGTGGCATTAGAAATTTTAAATTGATTCAAATTATGGACAGTTGGATGGCGACGAAAATATGTTTCCGCCTTTTTTCTATCCCTTCTAGCTTGTTTGCAATCAATGTTAAACCATGGTTTATGAATGTGTGAGACTGTAGAGGATTTTGGAATACATTCATCTGCAATAATATTTAATTCATCAGAAAAGGTTTGAATAGGATCAATAACATTTAGGAATAAGTTGGGTTGCAATGTTTCAGTGCATAAGGTATAAAATAGAGACCAATCAGCTTTTGTAAAGTTCCACCTTGATGAGGGTGGAGTGTCACTTGGATGTACAGTTGATAAAACAGTAGGAACATGGTTGCTGCCACAAAGGTCATCATGGACCGACCATACAAATTCATTTAATAAGTTTGAGTCTGTAAGGCAAAGATCTATTGAAGAATAACTTCCAGTTCCAGGATGCAGATAAGTATGGGAATTATCGTTGAATAGACATAAATCATTATTGGAGATGAAATCTTCAAGTATTTTTCCTTTAGTATTTATAACTGTACCACCCCAAAGTGGGTTGTGGCCGTTTAAGTCACATGCAATAATACAGCGTTTAGGGAGTTGCTCATACAACTCTTGAAGATCTGATTGCTGAAGAAATGAAGAGGTTGGAAAATAAAGAGAACATAAAGTGAAGACAAAATTCAAAGTAAGCCTGACTGCAACTGCTTGTAGAGGGGTATTAAGTGAGAAAGGACTATGGATTATACCCTGCTTCACAATAGTTGAAGATCCTCCAGTAGGTTTATGACCAGGAGGGGAGAAATGATGATATGAACTATACCGTCGTAAGTCAAATGTATCAGTGGCCTTGAGATATGTCTCTTGTAAACATAAAGCTGATGGTTTCAAATCTTGGACTAAAAGTTGTAAATCATTAAAATTATTCCTTATTCCTCTACAGTTCCATTGAATTATATTTTGAGAACTCATGGAGGTTCAGTAGGAGATCTGGATGAGTTCAGTACCATCATATTAGGATATCGGTCATTTAGGATGTGCTATTGGAGAAAGCTCCCGTCCTTTCTTCTTTGGAGAATGGCTCTTGGAGTGGGTCCTCACATGGGCTGACACTTCCATGTCATCTAAAAGATCAAACCTATTTAGAATGGGCACAGGGTCTTTTTGTCCATTAGGTACGCGATCAGATCAGACTGCTTTTTAGAATACTCGACATTTGCATTTTTCTTTTTCACAACTTGTGTAGATGTCTGAGTTTCTGATGATTTCAGTGTTTTTTTGTGAGGAGGATTGACTAGGTGTAGGAGAAGTCAGATCATAAACGCACATAGGTTTCTGTGCATACATCCATGTCAGGTCAGTCTGACATTCAATGGACATCATGGACGGTTTCAATACTTCGGCGTATGTTGATTTACCTCTCATGGAAGCGTTGCCAGAAGTTGAAGTTGAAGCAGCCAATTTCTTTGCTTCTGGAAACTGATATTCTTCTCCGTTTTGATAAGCTGAGCAGACATTTCAAATTGCCAAACCGGACATTCTTTTGAGGATGCCATGTACGGACCAGAACAATTCACACATTTTGGTTCAGATGAACATATAGTAGAGTCATGATCGTCGCCACCAAAACGATAACAAGCAGCACGATTTTTACATGTGTTCTGTCCATGCTCTGTCCATGCTTTAAACCTCTGGCAATTAAAGCACCGGAGAGGATTAGGGACATATAGGTCAATTTTCATTGAAAAACATCCGACTTTAATAGATTGGGCAGCTTTGGAATATCAAAAGTCAGTAAATAGGTATTGGAAGGTGAACAGACACCATCTTTCTTAAAGGTGAAACACTTTGCCGAAACTACACCCTGCATTCGTAACTGACTTACGATGTCATCAGTGGAGAGATCAGCAAGACTTCTGTCACTGTCACGAATAATACCTTTGCTAAAGTTCAGTGTTTTGTGTGGATAGCATTTGACAGGAACATTCGTACAGGATTTTGCTTCCATAAGATTAGCAGCTTGATCCATCTTCTTACATTCTATTAGAAGTGAACCAGATCTAGTTTTAGTCACATTTTTAACGGTTCCAGCAATACCTTGGATAGCTTTTTCCAACAGAAAAGGAGAACAAGAAGTCAATTTTTCTCACTATATTCTGCAATAATGAAGCGGGGCCAAGTTTCACGTTCAGAATAACACAATCTCGTAATCGTGTCTTCCTCATCATCAGAGTCATCTACATGATAACGTTTTTGTTTTTTTGGATTTTGGTTAGACATGATAGTATATTTGTTTTTCACCCTCCTGGCTCCCCACCCACCATGGAGTGTCAACCAGGACGATGCCTAATGCCAGTGGGCCTCCAACTGGCGGCACCAAGGATACCAAGAGGGTACACTCAAGCAGTAGCATTACAGAGAATGTACCACCAGATTGGCCCACGAGCCATCGCCTTCTGGGCATAAAATCTAGGCAGTTTAGAAATCTAAAACTCTTGAAATCAAGTTCAGCTTGATACACAAACTGGGCCAAGACCTAAAATGAAAGAACAATTCTGAACTATATATTTGGACATACAAAATTATACTCAGGGCTTGGCATGACCAGCCGATTGATTGAACCGGGCCCATTCAGGGCCGAAGTGGTGTGTTGGGCAAAGGAACACTGTTCCTGGAACCAGTGCCCTCAACCACCAGACTCCCTTCCTCCACCGACACAGGGGCGCAGCCCACGGCGGGTTGGTGGACCAAATATACCACCGGGTCCACAACGGGGGGTTGAAGAGCGCTTAGCATTACCCAGCACCCACCACGAGGAGGTGGCTCTTCACGGGTGCCTAATATGAAGGAATGTTATTGAAACAATATGAAGGAATGTTATACATATAGTATGAAGGATGGTTATACATGCAATATAAAGGAAAGTTATACATGCAATATGAAGGAATGATATGCATGCAATGTGAAGGAAAGCTATACATACAATATGAAGGAAGATTATACACACAATATGAAGGAATGGTATACATACAATATGAAGAAATGGTATACATACAATATGAAGGAATGGTATACAAACAATATGAAGGGAGAGTATACATACAATATGAAGGAAAGTTATGCATACAATATAAAGGAAAATTACACATACACTATGAAGAAATGCTATTAACTCAATATGAACAAATGTTATTCATATAATATAAAAGAAAGATAAAATACAATATAAAGGAATGTTATCCATACAATATAAAGGAATGTTATACATACAATGTGAAGGAAAGGTAATGAATACAATATGACGGAATGTTATAATGCAATATGAAGGAATGTTATGCTTACAATATGACGGAATGTTATACATACACTATAAAGGAATATTTTTCATACAATATAAAGGAATGTCTTAAAGCAAAATGAAGGAATGCTATACATGCAATATGAAGGAATCTCATCAATACAGTGTGAAGGAATGCTATACATTCAATATATAAGAAAGTTATAAGTACAATATAAAGGGATGTTATAATGCAACATGAAGGAAAGTTGTACCTGCAATATAGAGGAATGTTACACATAGAATGCGAAGGAAAGTTATACATACAATACAAGAACTGTACATGTTATACACGCACTCGCAAGCACGCACATCCGTCCATCCATCCATCAATCCGTGCGTGCCTGCCTGCCTGCATGAATGCATGCGTGCATATCTGATTATCTGATGCCTCTGATACCTCTGACAGATACTATTTTCACACTTCGTTTCCTTCCAGGCTGGTTACGCGCGACCCAGTTTTTTGAGACAGTCGGGTTGATCGCCATTGCCGCAGCGGCTGTCCTTCTGTTCCTGTCAATCTTCGTGCAGGCGCTCAAGGACAAGAAGATCATCACAATCATCAACGCCTTAGCCTGCTTCGGTGCCTGTACGTGTTTATATTTCAAAACCTACTTGATCCTCACAAACATATTTATTCAATTCTTAAGTGGAGTGATTCTAAAGATTAGTTACTTCGCACGACATAATGCGAGTGAGATCGGCTTGTTGCCTTTGGCGACGGAATCCGTTGTGCTGAGTTGCGCCCCTTGCAGTAACGGATACCTGTGCCTGTAGGTTCGACTCATAGTTGGCATTGATTTTGTTGTAACACCACATCCGTGGGGTTCACCAAAGTGGTGAACGCTTAAAGTCTGCCTGACTGCGAGCATTTCTTTCCCCAAACCTGGTCACGCCGTCATGTAACTGAAATACTGTTCAAACCAGCCTAGTTAACATTATCTTGGGTATCAGGATATGAAGGGTTATGGGCAAATATACACCCATGGAGTGAGTACTAATAAAAAAGCTGATGCTTGAAGGCTGTAGAGTCACACCGACTTAAACGATGTATCGAGTTAAGAGAGTATCACTGTGCATGCAGTTGTTTCTCTTCAACATAAAGATACAAGAATGTACAGTCCACCACGGAGTTGAAGTCGACACAACCGCCAAATGTCTAGAAAGAATACGCAGACACGAAACTGTTACTTCGAGACAACCGTAAGTTCGACATAAAGGTGTTTCATTATATTTGTTTATTTCCAGGTGGAACAATCATCATCGGCGCGATCATCTACGGCAGTCAGGATCGCCCGGTAGCCTACCTCAGCTGGGCTTTCGCGCTGTGCATTGTTGGGGCAATAATGGAGGGCGTGGCAGGCGCATTAATCATATTGGGAACGTTCGCTGCCAGAAGACCATAAATGATAAGACGGAGAAGTTTAATAGTTATATGTCAAAATGATAGAGACGAACCTTTCATGCTTTGTGTTACAGGATATTTGAATAAAACAACATGTGACTGGGAATACGTCTTCTAACGCGACTTGACAACAACACTGATCATCCATTAACTCTAATATCGTGTCTTCTTTAAAATTTACAGTTGACTAGGAGTCATGGCAGTTATAGATATAGCATGTTTCATGTAGGCATTTACCGGGTAAGAGCCTGCCCGAGCACAACATTGTATTTGTAGCAGTAGTAGTAGTAGTATAAGTAGTGGTGGTGGTGAAGTAGTAGTAGTAGTAGTAGTAGTAGTAGTAGTGGTGCTGGTGGTGGTTGTGGTGGTGGTGGTGGTGGTGGTAGAAGTTATTTTTAGCTTGCACCAATGAACTGTCTAATCAGGCTAATTTGTTAATATCCATAATATTCCCAATTGAAAAAATAAAACCCATTTGAAACTTGGGGTTGTGGTGTTAAATCCTACACATAAGAACTGCACGAAAGACGAATTTAATGATATTCGGGTAGAATAGACCTCCAGTATCCCGTCATTATGACTTTAAGGAGCAACTGGTTACCAGCAGGGGACATGGCAGTGTTCACACACTGGCAAACTGCTCCACCCCCAACCTCAGCAAACCCCTCCAACACCGATCTGGAAAAATCACTAATTTTTTGTCTACAATAATTCAAGCAGATTCAGCCCCGAAATGTTCTCAATACAAGAATTGGCGCACTTCAAACTGTAGCCCAAAACATGAGGCATTGCATTTTCACTTCCTGTGTGAGATTGAGTTTGGTGCGGACCCCTACTTGATTTGATTTTCACGCGAAAGAAGCAATGGTGCGGACTGAAGAAGGGCCCATGAATATGGTTTCTTACTGAACGCCGAAAAAACCCACATAACATGTGGAAGGATTTAATATCAGGATATGAACACTGGAACTACTTCAAACAATAAGAAAGTAAGCATCATATATAAAGTATCTTGTATATAAATTACTTTCTAATTACTCACCAACTTCACCAATCAAACTGATACTTCAAACAAGAACGACAAATCTATTTCTGTGTATTTCCAAAAATTATAAACCTATATACAGAGGCGCTCGCATATTGTTACAATCTATAAAAAATTTAAATCTAAATTAACCTACCTTTTTAACAACAACAACTACTACTACTACTACTAGTAGTAGTAGTAGTACTACTACTACTAGTAGTAGAAGTACTACTGCTACTACTTACTACTACTACTACGACGATGACTAATGACGATAAGCATAATAATTTTTGGAATACATATTCTAATGTAATTATTCTCAGCTGATCATGTTATATTCATGTGTATATATTAAGATGATAATAATCGGAATAATGGGGTGGTGTGACATGCGTCATAAACATAAGACAGATGAAACACAATCCCATTATTCCGAACTCTGATATTTCATTTTATCCTCATAAATGCTAAATTAATGAACATTTTCGTATAGAAGGTAGAAGGTTTATTGAGGGGAAAATGAATTACTCTTAAAAATCATATTTGGTAGGCAATCTGTTATCAATATAATACATAAATCTGACTCGGATAAGAAAAACATCAAGACACACTAAGGACACGGGCAGTGGAACTTCAAGACCTATATGATCTCTTTCTGAATCCTCAGAACCAAAATGGTATTTCGTGACGTCAACAAAACATCAGTTTTAGTCCTAGCATGGCTTGTGAAAAGATATGACTCTTGAATTGTCTCGAGATATTTATAAGTTCAGGGGATGATTACATTTGTTTTTCATTTACTATATATGTAGCTTTTATTTATCATTTATTGGGGAATCAATATGTTAGATTAACCAGATATTGTTTATCCGTTTGCCCATCAAAACAACTACCTGTATACCTGAGCCCTAAACAATAGCTGTGGAATTAATATCGTTTTATCCTTGTTATCTTACATATATAGATGCATAAAGTAGAGAAGAAGTCTGGAGAGGTGTATTGAACATATAAAATCAATTTTAGGATTATAGATCTAGCTTTCATGAAACTTAAGTTGTCTTAAACTGCGGAATTCTTGAAGAACCCTGTAAATGATGCATTGTACAAATTGTTTGTCCAGTTGTCTACACTTAGATGTCACCCGACTCCAATGTCACTCGGGAGCTATTGTCGCTCTAGTGATGTTGTTCACTGCTAAATTCTTAGGGCAATGCAGCATGTTATCTGTATAGGTTCTGATGCCATCAAAACACGAGTTAGTTTGTGTGGAGGCATCAGCAGTAGATTTGACAGTGCTGTATGTGTGATCACACACAATACCACCAGACATGTATAAAATGTATGATTACATACAATGTCGGAATGCGCACGTAAAATCTACAAATCATCATCGTTTCATTCTCAGCAAGGCTGTCCCGTGTGAATCCAGGCTTGATTTGAAACTCAGGCGACAGAAACTTTCGAAACAACTGTTCAGTGTTACAGCTCTCTCCCATCTCCGTGGGTGGCCCTGTCGTCTAAGGCCCCGAAAGTCCTTGTTCAGTGTTGTATCCTTTCGGCACGCCCCAACCCCATGGTCGTTGGTCGAATGTGATCCGAGTTCCAGTCTCTGATTTGGTTTAAGGTTTCCATGCATGTTACTAGTACCTTAGTGTTTAAGCACATCACACTTTGCAACTAGCCTTAGCCCTGTTAACACAGCAACACGTATGGGGCACGCCATAGATTATGAATAGTTTAACTTAAAGAGGTATTGTTCTGAAAACAGGAATCTAAGTTGTTCAGATTAACATTTTAATGTTTGAATAAAATTCATGCAATGCAAACGAATAAATAATCAGTAAATGGGTTATGTATAACATTTATTATAAGTGCATGCATTTAAGTGTATACATCTGCAGGTTTTATGAAAGTGGCAAATGTTGATTACAGGTGTCAGTGGGTACGAGAGATACGTTTTGTTAAGTAAATGCAACAAAACCCTTTCCACATTCATAAGAAATTTCTGCTTAACACAGAGTCGATTGTACAGCTGTGATCATTTCACGTTTTAATTAATATATGATATATGACGATTTATCACTGTACATTAACAATTTTATTTTATATGGTTTATATTTATCTACTGTAAAAACTTGCCATGATTTGCTTTTTATTTCTATCAAATGCTGCAGGGTTATTTGTTTTCTGCCCTGCGATAAACGCCGAAAATAAATGAGTCCTCACCCCTCCCAGCATTGCGTTGTCTTGATTGCTGGTCACACAACGTTAAGCTGACATACCGTGACGTAAGTGTAATAGTGGTTTTAAGTAGCGTCAAGTGCACCTACCTAAGACAAAGGAGGTAACTGACTCTGAAAATCCGGTTACCATCCTTGCCCGGAAAGTTATATTTGGCTGGACGTACGAATCTGTGAATAGTCCACACAAACATCACCTAATGAAACTGACATTCAGTTCGTACACAACGAACAGATTTCGTTTAATTGCAGGATTTGTAAAATGTGTACAGCCAACTGGGCTTTTATAGATATTTTCCAAATCGTTTCATTTATTTAATCAAATTGTGCAAGTGGGTTTTCGCACTTTGCATGGCAAAACCCGTTACATTACAACATGCATCTTGCTTATCGATCGGATTGTCATGACGCGAGTTTGCTTGAACCAAATGCAAGTGATATAAAAGCTGTAATCTGATTGGTCAGTAGGAGGGACATAGAATGGACACACTGTGGAATAGCCACACCAATCGAGCAACGAAATTCCAGCCTTTGTCTCGGGAAGAAGCTATAGCTGACAAAATAAATGACATAACAAAAGGCGATTGTTCTCCTGAACAGATTTATATCAACAGAAACGTGCATACAGTAATCATACAACATGGGTATGACATCACTCATCACAGATATATCAACACACAACAAACTAACATAACTGTTAAATATAACATAATGGCCAGTTCCATCAACAAATTGCAAAGTTAACTCATTTGAAAAGTAATGTTGCTGAAACGAGTAAACTGTAAATATTTCATGATAACACACAGACACAAAATAGAAACTGTGGGCCACTATATATAATGTCATCCACATTTTGGACCATGTGACCGATTTTGATTACCATACATTTATCAATTCTAGACCTTATTGTTTAGTAACCTCAGCGAAAGAGGTGTCTAGAAGAGCTGGATTTTTCTGCACCCCAAAAGGAATGTGTGTGATGCTGATCATCATTAACATTATTATTACTTTTGAGAGGCCTCGGGCATAGACGACATAGCTTCAACAGGGTAACCCAGGTGACATTGTGACACTCTCCATTACCTTGACCAAGCTAGAGTCTTACTGTACAGAGATGAAAACGACTGTCCCTTCTGGTGTTTGAAGGGTCAGTTTGGATTATGCACCTAGAAACTGTTTAAAAAAGTGGAAAATAAATTTCATAATCATAAGAAATGTATCTCTCTCAAGAACCCTATAAGAAATGTCTGCTTAAAGCTGAGTCCATTGAACGACTCGACTAGACTAGGGGTTTAAACTTTAATAGTAATAGTGATGACACCAGGCCTTTGTGGAGTAGGTGATCGTATCCTGTCTCATCGGTGGCTTTCGTTACAAACACATGCAAAGACAAGTCAATTGTTCATCTGATAAAACACGGACATATGGTGCTCAAATTAGGTAATTGCATTTAGTGAGAAAGTGAGTGAGTTTAGTTTTACGCAGCTTTTAGCAATATTCCAGCAATATCACGGAGTGGAACCCCGAAATGGGCTTCACACATTGTACCCATGTGTTGAATCGAATCACTAGGCTACCCCGCCGCCCCTTATGAGAAAGAGGTTGGACCCGTCATGCAGTTCAGTTTGTCAGTATGCGGGACAGGGTACTGCAAGAATTAAAAATGTCACTTGTAGTAAACATTGTCAGACATTGACGTGAATGAAACATGGCATTTGTCCACTTCAGTGTAACATGACTGTGACAATAAAGTCTTTTAAGTAGGTTTTTGTAGCTCCTGAAATGTCATCGAACATATCATGTAATCTCTTACTTATTTTACACGTGTATACTGTATCAATGGAAATCATAAAATCAATACATACATACATCACGACGTATATACCACAGGGGAAATTCCCGATGTACAAAGTTCATGTCACGAGTCCAGTTAAATTTTCATACTTCTATCACAGAACATGTCATAAGGATACTAGCTTTTGCTGAGTCCCCGAGAACAGACGACCAAAAACAGGAATGTCACTATTTCATAAGCAACTGTCCCACTTATGAAATACATAAGGACCTTTGGGGTGTAAGCAACAAAACACTGCCCTGTAATGAAGGGCACGATTATCTCCCCTACTCCACTGGCAACTAAACATGCAGTGATTATCCCCCCTGTTAACTGGACGTAGTTGGCGCTCCATGCGAGGACCATGGGAAGGTAAGGGGAGGTAAATATTCCTAGGGCCGCTGTTCCCATCCACAGTCCTACTTCATACTTATCGCCCAGCCCTATCAACACTCCACATGCAATCACCAATCCTACGAAATTAAGACATATGAGAACGAAATTTGAAAGACAGCCTGAAAAACATAGATTGATTAGTCTTCCAAGCAGGAAACATCCCCAGAAAACAGACGTCATTATTGCCATGTGCGATTTTGAAAAGTGAAGGCCGATGGTGACGCCGTAAGGGGTCAAGAGGTCACCGTACGCCAACATAATGCCGAATACGGGAATGTGGAACAGAAACAAGAGAGCGAAAAATATGTAATGTCGTGTGGAATAACTTCCTCTTTCAGTATGTTGAAACTCTTCGTAGGTTATCAGCGGTTCAGACCACCTCTTCCGGTGATAGTGCGCAAACGCAAAAACCGGTGGTATACTTAATATCCCTATGCAAACGTATGCATATTGTACATGTGATTCGGTATTGCATTGAGACTGGTCTCCTTCTATGCAGACAAGTGGCTGACTGGTATGGTTGTTGATTTCGATTGAGAACATATCCCCCGCGGACGGTCCGTTAGCGAGAAAGGGCGTGGCTATGAAGGGTGCCAAGAACGAACCAATTCCCGCCCCCAGGGTCACGAACTGGAAGGGAGCTCCCTTTTCACCTGGCCATAGCTGGTTCGAGATGGACATTGCCGCTGGAAAGACAAAAAGGTTTGGTACATTTGCATCTTAACAGTCACGACCATCCGACGTGTGAAATGAAAAAAGGTTCTTCGACTATAGACACTTTAGAACTGATGTCGGATTATTGACCTTTACAAATATTTAGTGTTACGTTAATTCTTTGTCTTTTACCCAGGTATTTCTTAAATTCGATACAATCAAAAGAGCAGCAGAAACCAACTTCTGTTGTTTTAATACCAGATTGCTTTCGGATTGCTTTCATATGTGAGTGAGCGAGTGAGTGAGTGAGTTTGCTTTTACGCCGCACTCAGCAATATTCCAGCTATATGGAGGCGATCTGTAAAATAAACAAGTCTTGTCCAGACAATCCAGTGATAAACAGCATAATAAATCTACACTAATGGGATACGATGACATGGATCAACCAAGTCAACGAACCTGACCACCTTACGACAAGCATGGGTTACTGAAGATCAATTCTAACCCGGATCTTCACGGGTTGCTTTCATAGGTATTAATTAACCTCTATAACAGGATCTCAGGGTTCTACCTTTTAACTCCATTTCCCTTGCCTCCATACATTCTCTTGGGTTTACACCATACAAAACAAACCCATAAAAGACTATTTTACCAGGTGATGCAGTTGGGGACATGCTTTCCTTTACGCAAACACTTTCAGTCATGGATAATTTTAATTTTCAACGCGATTTGCCCTGGATAATCGAAGGTGGTTTGTCTCTGGCGTTAATGGTACATATTTCCTCAAACATTGTTTTATCGTGTATGAAATATATTTTCTTATATTCAAGTTCTCACAAATAAAGCTTAATTGTTTTCATTGAAGGAAACCTGATGCTGAACAACGTAAGTAAGATATTGTAAGATCTCTTACCGTAGTCCACCAGTCCTTTGGCCACACCCATGATAAAGAACATTATGGCAAGATAGTAAAACACGGTGCCCCATGGAAGGGCAAAGTTCACCATACAGCCAAGCAGGAGTGATCCCGTCATGACAAGTCTGGTACTCAAACACCGCTCAAGGCCGAAAGCCAGCAGAATTCCGACTATAAAGCCAGCTCCTTGGAGAAAGAATATGTAGGTCATCTGGGTCCAGGTCGCGTGGACAAACTGTTGCAAGTCCAGGAGAGTCGGGCCAATGATGCCATTCACAAACCCCTGGAACAAAAAGAATTGTCTGGTTTGGACTGGTCGTGAGCTGGATGTTTCACCACTTTAGGCAGTAATTCAGTTATAACACGGCCACCTTTACGTCAATAATGTAAACGTGAAAACATTGAGTTGGGCTTATGGACAGCCTCGGATAGATGATCTACAGAATATTAAGCCAAGTTTTGTTCTTTTTTTGTGTGTTTTGTATAAGAAACCATGACGCAAAGAAACATCAGAATGTACAACATATAACCATTAATTTACTGAATAGATAAAAAATAACCACGCAATTTAATGTAGTTTTAACACATCCCAATGGGATATAATTAACGTACTTACCCTCACCCCTAACAAACCATTTACTTATATAAGGGGTGTGATTAGCATACTTACTCTCACCTCTAACAAACCACCTACTTCTATAAGGGATATAATATTAACGTACTTACTCTCACCCCTAACAAACCACCTACTTCTATAAGGGACATAATATTAACGTACTTACTCTCATCCCTAACAAACCACCTGCTTCTATAAGGGATATAATATTAACGTACTTACTCTCACCCCTAACAAACCACCTACTTCTATAAGGCATATAATATTAACGTACTTACTCTCATCCCTAACAAACAACCTACTTCTATAAGGAATATAATATTAACGTACTTACCCTCACCCCTAACAAACCACCTACTTATATAAAGGGTGTGATTAACATACTTACTCTCACCCCTAACAAACCACCTACTTCTATAAGGGATATAATATTAACGAACTTACTCCCACACCTAACAAACCACCTACTTCTATAAGGGACATAATATTAACATACTTACTCTCATCCCTAACAAACCACCTACTTCTATAAGGGATATAATATTAACGTACTTACTCTCACCCCTAACAAACCACCTACTTCTATAAGGCATATAATTATAACGTACTTACTCTCATCCCTAACAAACCACCTACTTCTATAAGGGATATAATATTAACGTACTTACTCTCACCCCTAACAAACCACCTACTTCTATAAGGGGTATAATATATAATATTAACGTACTTCTACTTAATATTAACGAACTTACTCACACCCTAACAAACCACCTACTTCTATAAGGAATATAATATTAACGTACTTAACAAACCACCTACTTCTACGTACTTACTCTCCTAACAAACAACCTACTTCTATAAGGGATATAATATTAACGTACTTACTCTCACCCCTAACAAACCACCTACTTCTATAAGGGATATAATATTAACGTACTCTCACTCACTTCTATACCTACTTCTATAAGGATATAATATTAACGTACTTACTCTCACCCCTAACAAACCACCTACTTCTATAAGGGATATAATATTAACGTACTTACTCTCACCCCTAACAAACCACCTACTTCTATAGGGATATAATATTAACGTACTTACTCTCATCCCTAACAAACCACCTACTTCTATAAGGGATATAATATTAACGTACTTACTCTCACCCCTAACAAACCACCTAGACGTGTAGTTAACGTACTTTCACACATATCCAACACCGACTGTCTCCGTGGAACGGCTTCCGCAGGCGCGCGCGCACGCACGCAAGCGAACGCGCACACATATACACAAGCTCACCTCAACATACACACGTCTCGCATACAAAAGCATACAGACACGTGTGCAAACACACACACACAAAAAAATTACAAAAATTAAATACACACACAAAAAAACACAAACAACGTATAAGTAGCTTTCTTAGGGGATGTGATATACGTACCACCAGGTGAAACGCCCAGAACAACCATATCGTCTCAAAGATGCGGGTCTTCCGGTCTTCCATCTTGAGACTGAGACTGTATCTAGATGATGAGAAGGAAGATGTGCATCAAATGCAAAATTACGTTCAATCGAAATACATTTAAACTCATCGATCTCTACTTTAATACCTAGAACATAACAAAAATAACCCCAAAACACGTTATATCGTAAAAACATACTGACTGTTATACACAGTTGCCAAACCGGAGTGCAAGTACAAGTTCACAAGAGAAAGTACAATCACAAACTAGCAGGTTCATAAACTAGATATTGTCGCATGAATAAAACCTTTAGTGAAAGTGGGCGCACATTACCCGAAATTAGATGAGTGGCGCTCAGCGTCTGTGACAGATGCTTGGATCGTTACCGATCAACAATTACCGATACATGTGCTCGGTTGGGGCTGCTGTTGTAAATAGTTTGGGCCTGATAGTCACTGTATTATGATAACCATGACATTTTGGCTAGCAAGATAGGCCAAGACATTCTCTTTCTGCAATGACAAAGCTACGTGTAGGTGTAGCTGAAGCTGAATCAATATTTCTATAATTATATTTTAGAATTAAATTTGCATTGCCATGAAACTGAATCGATTGAACCACATCAACTGAATATAATCTGTTACAATGCATAATCAAATATGAATTCTTCAAAAGAATGATATTATGATTCGACATATGATATTTAACTACATCACGTAGAGGTTTAATGGCTTCACAAGTATGTGAGAATTTAAGTGCAAATTCCTAGGTCGGTCGGTCTGTGGGTCGGTGGGTGGAGGTGGGACGGACCAAGAGTATATTTATAGGTCACACGTAACATACAATGTGTAGATATTATGGGTGTAAATACATTAGGCTTTTGAGACACAATATGAAATAAAATATTTGTGAATATAATGTCTATGACTTGTCTTCCAGGGGCAAACAATTTATTGAGGACTATTTTCAATTTCAAACCGACATTGTCAATATAATGTCTATGAATTATTTTCAAGTGGCAAATAATTTATGGAAGACTATTTTCAATATCAAACCGACATTGTCAATATAATGTCTATGAATTGTCTTCAAGGGAGAAATAATTTATTAAGGACTATTTTCAATATCAAACAGATATTGTCCATATAATGTCTATGAATTGTCTTCAAGGGGGATATAATTTATGGAAGACTATTTTCAATATCAAACCGATATTGTCAATATAATGTCTATGAATTGTCTTCAAGGGGGAAATAATTTATTGAGGACAATTTTCAATATCAAACCGATATTGTCAATATAATGTCTATGAATTGTCTTCAAGGGGAAAATAATTTATTGAAGACTATTTTCAATATCAAACCGATACAGATATTTTGACCTTTAACATTAGCGCAAACGAATGTCCGGCCTTGATTATCCCAAAATTCATTGTGGGACAGTTCTGAAATTTATACGAATGGATTACTGAAAACCAGTAACGACAACAGGTGTTGTGCAGATAACACCCGCCATTTGCCAAATGTGCCCAACACAGTAAATATTTATATATCGACGCCGTACAGTATAACTCCTGTCATACGATGGCGTCCCGTAAACAATCCAGACAAATAAAAACATTGAATTACGACCGCTGTGAAGAAGCATGGACTTCGAGACTCCAAAGTATATAGTTTCAGACAAACGTTTGGGAAATAACTTTATTTTACGACACAGTGGGGGTCAATATTCATGCCTCGATCCAACATTTATTTTGTAGTTGACACAGCAAGAATAAATATGCTCCTGAATTGATGTTAAAACTAAAATAAAAATTCATTTCACTAGCAGAAACATCGATCCGTTGAATTAAATATAAAACGTCAATGAAAAAGGCTACCAAGTCTTGATTATCTTCAGAATGAAGTTCCTTTTGGTATAAAGGGGAAAACAGCTGTAAAATAGTGCGATCCCTCAGTTACCCAATAACCTGTCCAATACGGCAACTTTGTCATACCGCACAAAATGTTCAGCAATTACGAAACTATACACATGTCGGTCACAAGAGGCAACCACGTGGAATGGCCATGGGTTCGTACTTCCTGTTCCGAAAGCATATATCGTTGTTTACAATATAGATCACTTGGTTGCCTTGCCCCGATTATTTACATATAGCCAGCTTGTCTCACAGTCATGAACCACATTATTTACCCTCCCGCCCAGTCCTGTCTGTAATACAGCATGAAGCAAATAAAAGGTCCCTCGGGTTTCAGAATCTCCGATCTCTCTGGGGCTACATTTGAATTTAAATAGAAAATAAAAATGTAATGTTTTCAGAGAATACGCGTTAGTCTATCACATACCGGTAGCTGGAATAATGCTGGAGGTAAAGAAAATCAAATTAAAACAGTTGTCATACCCTGTGTGCTACACCACAAATAGCTGTGTAAACCAGTCCATAAATGGCCTTCATAATGGAGTAATCGAGTGAGTTTAGTTTTACGCCGCACTCAGCAATATTCAAGCTATATGACAGCGGTCTATAAATAATCGAGTCTGGACCAGACAATCCAATGATCAACAGTATGAGCATCCATCTACGCTATTGGGATACGATGACATGTGTCAACCAAGTCAGCGAACCTCTGTTGATTTCAAGTGACGGCTGATGATACATTGTTTTCGTTATAACCTCCCTTTAAAGCCTTTATAATCACAAAAGTGGTAAAAGCGGTAGACTTTTGGCAGAGTTGCGTCTTTGGCATAACAGCGAGTGAATACTGCTTAACGCCGCATCAGCAAAGTTGCTGCTGTTCACGGTGATGAGCACAACAGAACGCTGTGGTCGTGAGATGACATCTCAGTTCGCCCGCCTTATGATGCTAGGTTTGTCGGCACCATATCCGCGTCCAAGGGTTTCAGTACACGTTACATCCTCTGTGAGGTGAGGTGAAATTGGGTTTAACGTCGTGCTTGAGAATATTTCGCTCATATGACGACGTGCATGCGTGTGTATGTGTATGTGCGGCTGCTTGTACTAGCCCAGACTGAAGCTGGTTTTATGGTGCTAGCCCACTGAGATACCATGCCGCAGTGAAGCATGAATACCGCACTCAGACACATTATACTGACTCCGAGCCGACCAGTCCTTGTTGTACCCATTAATGCTAGGCAGGGACCAACAAGTACCATATTTTAACGTCTTTTGGTATGACGCGGTCGGGGATCGAACCCGCGATCTTCCGCTCTCCGGGCGGACGCTCTAACCACTACACCGTGGAGGCGGTCCAGTTACATCCTCTAACACCTGTGAAGATCCGGGATAGAATTGATCTTCAGTGACCAATGCTTGTCGTAAGAGGCGACTAACGGGATCGGTGGTCAGGCACGCTGACTTGGTTGACACATGTCATCGTATCCCAGTTGCGCAGATCGATGCTCATGGTGTTGATCACTGGACTGTCTGGTCCAGACTCGATTATTTACAGACAGCCGCAATAGGGCTGGAACATTGCTGAGTGCGGCGTTTAACAACAAGCCAACCAACCAACCAACATGTTCTCACATTAAGCTGTCACGCCGTAATATAACTGGAATGCTGTTCAAGGCGACCCCAGTTCACTTACTCTCGGCCTGGGCTCTGTTTGATTATACCTGGTCCCTCAACATGGACAGGTGTGATTCATGTTGGTTATTGAGACACATCCATTTGAAGATACAGGAAATTGTATCCTTTAGCATGACATGTATTTCATAACCCGAGTGCACAGAGAAGACAGTGCACGGGGAACATATTACTCGTGCAACACGTGGGGAAGATTTTCCCAGTGTCCTAACAGCCAATTCTCGAATAGCAGATGTTTTCGTACGTTCCAGCCAATACATACATAATGCGGACATGATCAGCTGCAGGAGGTGGTCCGTCAGCCAGAATCAATGTGTGCGACAAACATGTGACATTTTACAGTGCAATACATCTTCTAGCAGAAAGGTTTCGAGTAAAATGGCTGCTTTCAATGAGAGTTTGTGAATATTGGACGATTGGAGACAAACTTGTCAAGCTTATTCCCTATGACCACCAAATACTGTGGCTGACGATTATTGATTTAGAACAAGATTGAATTGATGTGAGGTAGTATGGTGGTTAAAGCGTTGGATCGTCACTGCGAAGGCCCGGGTTCGATTCCCCACAATCTTACAATGTGTGAAATAAAACCCTGGTATGCCTCACATTGACATTGCTGGAATACAATTAAAAACGACGTAACACATTACTCACGATAATGTTGATTAACACTCTCTATCATTGTCTTGGAAATCGAGAATCTTTTTGGAACATTGGTCTTATGTTGGGAATCGAACTGGGGTTGAGCGCTTGATATTCCAGTAATACGCTACAGCTTGTCAACTAAACATGAGAAGATGGCCAGAAATGATGCCTCGGACGTATGCCACGTTTGTGAAACGTAACCAATGAAACCGGAATCTGCGTGTAGACTCTTGGCACGTCTAAAGAACGCAACTCAACATAGCCACATGAGGGTAGTGTGAGAGGTAGTTGTTAAAACGTCTCACCAGGCGCAAGGCCAGTTTTCCACATGAATACAATTGACACATTACTCGTGGCTCGGTTTTTGCGAGTAAGCAAACGTGCATGAACATCGTCACGAAGTATGCACAGAATAAAAACAGTTAAAATCCTAAACACAGGTGGCGTAACAATTGATAACAATTATTAGTGTCGAGTGATACAGATCACTGTCATGTGTTTTTGTGTCAATAGTTTTTGCTTGTTTATTACATACCAATAAATTACTTCACACTATTCATACTTTGTGAAAATGAAAACAGTTACATATCATGTGACAAGTACGTTTCAGTAGTAAAGTGTTCTGCTCACCAGCTAGGTGCATCAACCATTGTATCCCAGATCTGATGGCCGCCCTTTCATTCCTGACACCACAGTTCCATAACTATCAAATGATTAAAGTTTGTATTAGAAGTAAATAGATTTCTCTTCCATATGATTTAAACAAAACAGGCTGACAACAACTGACACAAAACAGGGCAACTGACACATAACGCCCTCTGAAACATATGGTGCAGCAGCGGCTTACCGTGATTTACCTGATATACATCCCGGGTTTCCAGGAACCGAGGTGAGTGAATAGTGAGTAGGTGTATCAACCATTGTATCCCAGATCTGGTGGCCGGCCTTTCATTCTTGACACCACAGTTCCATAACTATCAAATGATTCAACTTTGTATTAGAAGTAAATAGATGAGTGAGTGACCTGATATACATCCCGTGAGTGAGTGAGTGAGTGAGTGAGTGCGTGAGTGCGTGCGTGCGTGCGTGAGTGAATGAGTGAGTGAGGTTTTACACCGCACTCAGCAATATTCCAGCTATATGGGGGCGGAGGTAGTTAAGGATTGGGGGATAAGAGTGTGTGATCATGCTATCAACTATTGATGTGTTCTTTCGTATTTAAGATGACGTCATAGTCATATAGGTATAGAAGAGCACACTGCGGCTGAGTGGTCTATAGTGAGCGATTCCCAACATGGGTACCATGTGCGAAGCCCATTTCTAGTGTTCCCCGCCGTGATATTACTTTAATATTGCTAAATGCGGAGTAAAACCTTCCTCACTCACTCACTCGTTCACTCAGTCAAGTCATACAAAACTCAACTGTTTGCAAAATGAAACTTTGAAACGAATGCCAATCCAACTTATAGGAATGTCCTCAAGACAATGTGTAATGGCTCACATGAAACTACAATTTCAGAAACAACTTTAGATCTGATATTGAAACAAACTTCTCGAATCCCGACTACCTCTGGTTTTAAGTACACAATATGTAGAGTTATTGTAATTAAAAACGAATAGCATAAAATACCCATTGGCCCTCATTTTGCCACATCAGCAATGTACTGTATTCGCTCTTCAATGCACCAGCAGTTACTTTGTCATCATTCATTCATTCATTAATCATCCCTTGTTTAAATGACTGAGCTGAAAACATACATCATACATATTTGTTATGTATTGCTTTTAAATCATGAAAATAGCCTACAACAGTCACTTCTATATTTAATGTAAGATTAATTAATTGAAACGAGTTTTGAATGTGAATTTTGGAAATATTTAAATAGATATGGTTGTAAGTTGCTAGTTCTTCTTCTATATATATTCTGTGATTAACCTTGTGGTCTCGCGCGGCTTGAAACAGAGTGTGTAGTCTGTAATCTACATTTGTATTAACGTGTCCTATTTGTAGTATACAACTCATGACACTAAACTATATATCACGTTCTCTGTACTCCAGCAATCTCACGACGGTCCATCGCTCTAGGCTACCCTAGCATTATTGTGACGAACCTTCATCTATTTGGGAGTAATTACCCGGGGCTCGAACCAAAGACTTTTTGGTCTCCGGTGAGTGAGTGAGTTTGGGTTTACGCTGCTTTTAGCAATATTCCAGCAATATCACGGCGGGGACACCAGAAATGGGCTTCACACATTGTGTCCATGTGAGGAATCGAACCCGGGTCTTCGGCGTGGCGAGCGAACGCTATAACCACTAGGCTACCCCACCGCCCCTATATTTTCTCTGGGCTGACATTCTATTCACTAGACCAGGACGCTGTGGATTAGAGCGGGGTTGGACTGTCTCACTTCCTCACTGTTACCTTCCTGATTGTTTGGCGGCGTTGATAAAATAGAGACGCAACTCAGGGTTACATCCCTTAGTCGTGTCAGGATCTGTAGATCGCCGCTTACAAATCACCGGCCTTCTACCAAATGTGGCATCTATAGCGAGCTTTACCACGCCATGTGTCTATAGCCAGCATAAGTTTGCTATCGTTAGCCTAGTGGTTAAAGTGTTCATAGTTACTCAGAAAAGTAATTTCTGAACGCATATGTTGAGGACCAGGGTAATAAAAAATCATTCGCTCAATCATGCAACACGTCAAACTAATATTGGAGGCAATACGGTAAACCATTATAAAAGCCTTCTCACCTTCCGTGTACACCATGTGCACATCTCCCTGTAGCATTGATCAAGGTGTCAACATTGACCGTTTTATCATTGATCTAAAACTCGAAAGCCACAAGCCGTGACATCCTTTATCGACACCACATTCAGTCAAAGCGACAAACATTAAGCGTAGAACGCCAAGATCCGGTGTCTGGTTGCTGGAATGGTTAGTTAACGTACGTATTGCGGATTTTAAGTAACCACTTCCGGCTACTCTATGACGTCATTCATAGAATCTAGGCATCAAATATGGTTAATCAACATTGTTGTAATTAGTGTTGATCGCGTAATTTAAAACCTGCATGTTTATCTAGGAAAGCCTTACCCACCCACATAGACCCATCACACCACGTGACGCACAAGTTGCACGTGAAATGTCAACTCTGCGCACCTCGGTCTTTGGTGACTCGGGTTTTTAAACCACGGGTAACTATACAATTTCCCGGATCTGGTAACTTATCTACCTACATAAATATTACTTGTCCATGTTGAGGGGCCAGTAAGGACCAAACATAGCCCCGGTGAAGTGTGAGTGAACAGTATTTCACATGTTAGCTGAATGTGGGCGGAAAGTGCTGGACCTCTTCGTTCTAACCGAACTTGGCCCCTTGCCCGCAACAGGTTCACTTTATGCCATGTTTCTAATAAAACTACGCCGGTGTTCCTCGTAAACAAATAGCAAACATCTGCGACAGACTCACAACCTCAAGTGGACGATCATGTATCCCTATAATCCTTGGTCAAACACAGCACGGTCAATATCTAACACATATTGCCGTACTATGAATTACAGATAATATACATTTCTTTAGAATTTTCGATATGTGCAAACTTACATAACAGGACATATTTCACACTACAAATACCTTCAATTAATTAACAAGCAGCCGTACATTTCTGGTATTTCTAAGTGAAATAAGACATCGAGTTGACAGATTGCCGAGCACGGACTACAGAAAACCAGGAAGACAATAACAAACGTATCACCTCGCCCAAAACAACGATCCGTGTAACACAACTACCAGAGATATCAACGAATATAATTTTAAATTGACATAATATTTGGCAAAAGATAAATTTTATATATCCACAGGGACATAATTTTAAATATTCGTGAATAGTTTAACAAACTGACCCGCAGCTGTCCCTCCCTGTTACGTCAGTCTCCAGATTTACAATAGAGAGGCATGTGCCTATGAGTAATACAAGCCGTCAAGATAAGAGTGTATCCCCTCGTGATGCGTGATCAAGTTCGGGGACATTAAACATTGATAAGAAGTAAATGTGAACTTACTTAAATCAAATGAAATATTTTATCGAAAAATAAGAGCGGGGATGTGTGATAGGCTAGCGATTAAAACGTCACAGAAAAGTGAGCGAGTGGGTTGGGTTTTTTTGTAAACCACGGCGTGTTAGGTTAATGTGAGAGGTTGACCAGAAGTGAGTGAGTGAGTGACTTTAGTTTTTACGCCGCTTTTAGAAATATCCTAGCAATATCACGGCGGGGGACACCAAAAATCGGCCTCACTCATTGTACCCATGTGGGGAATCGAACCCGGATCTTCGGCGTGACGATCGAACGCTTTAACCACAAGGCTACCCCACCGCCCCTGACCCGAAGTGATGCAGGTCTCGGGCTTTTGAGTTTGGTGGACCCACGGGTCTGGTGCTGGTAAACGGGGTCATGCATGTAAATCCCTGGCACGTCTTGTGGGGCGGAACTCAGCACAGACCGGCGATGCCAGCATTACAGGCATGAGTGAATGAGTGAGTTAATATTTAACGTCACATCGGCAATAGTTCAACCATATCGTGACGAGAACATATTTGACGATGACATGGAATACGTGTAGAATATAAAACCTGTCGTCAAAGGACAGTAAAACAACTGGACTATCACTGTTAGAATTAAAACTAACATGTATAATAATAGCACTATTTGAACAATACAATATGAAAACAGGCTATGGATCGTCAACAACTGAAGGTAGATCACCATACTAGGGTATGGTACTGACTGTACTAGTACTTACAGTACTTGTGTTAATGAATGGGTACAATATGTGAAGCCCATTTCTGGTGTCCCCCGCCGTGTTATTGCTGGAATATTGCTAATAGCGGCGTAAAACTAAACTCACTCACTCACTTTTGTTAATGAATTGACAATAGTTAGCTCATCATGGAATGGGCTCACGCGAATCACTATTTACAACGTCAGTCCTTAAATATTCACAGACCTCACCCAGATGAACACAACCAAGTTGACTGTAGTCAACTACATTGTTCCAACAGACATTATGAAGCCACCAGCTGTGATCATCAGAGCGTGTTTTAAATGAAGAAAACCTTCTGATTGCCAAGATCTGTATATTTTTTCCTAGGAGATGTTCTTAGCAAAAAATGCGTTTCCCTCCTTTTAAGAACCACATTCGCTCTGTATTGCCTTGACCTTAGACATGCCAGTAGTCTGTATCATACTCCAAGCATTCCGTCAGACCCTTTCTGCGATGCAATAGTCAACAATGAAGCCTGTCCAGACTCCCACTGGTTCGGAATCTTCGAGCTGACTGGGGCTAATTCAGTATAAACGGAGTTATCTATTTCTATCAAAATTTCCTATAATCAGAGACTTACGCTTTGTATAACGTCCAGTAATTATGGATCCAAACATGCCCCGGATATGCTTATTGGTTTTTCAAGACCATACATATGTTTCTGAATTTCTCCCACATTAGACAACTTTTGGTACATTTGATAATAACACACTAGGTAGCCTTTTTATGTCAAATGTTTGGATTTTGTGCGTGTGTTTGTTTGTTTCTTGTTGCATTGGTATGGGCTGGGGGTTTTCAAGATGAAATCCATCTACGCAGGATAGTGGCGGTAGCCTAGTGGTTAAAGCGTTGGCTCGTCACGCCGAAGACCCGGGTTCGAATCCCCACATGGGTACAATGTGTGAGGCCCATTTCTGGTGTCCCCCGCCGTGATGTTGCTGGAATATTGCTAAAATCGGCGTAAAACCAAACTCAATCAGTCAGTCTACGCAGGATAAATTGATTTTTTCTCACTAACACTGAGTATCGAGTGAAGTGACCTATTTTATTGTTGTACCATAAGCTCCCAGGTTTTTCTGGTGACTTGCCTTTGCGTGTGTTTGTAACGGGTACTAAAGGTAGGGCAAAATGTGCTAACCTTTTCCGCAAACACACTTCAAATGAAGATGGGTGTCTTCTTGATATCTTCTTCTCCTTATTGGTGAAATGCCACACAACTACATCCTAATCACTATATTTGATCATGGTTTAATGTTTGCACTATAAACTGATCAACATGTATTTATGATACTGAATATCTGCTTGATTTTATGGAATATGGAAAGGCTAATCCATGTACATTGTATGTACGATGTGCTTGTGCGATCTTTTAATTAGCATGATTATATTCTCCAATTGTCTTTGGGGTAGTGGAAATAGATAACAAATGGGAGGTATCTGTTCAAAGCGTTAATGCGCTGATATATCTCCAGACCTCCAGATAACCTGCAGCGTTGCTTACAATACTAAATCAATACATTTGAAAACAAGCTTACCTCAAAGAACTTTGAAAAGTAGCTTTACGCAGGTTATCGATCACAAGTATTTTTGCAGACATTTTGTTATTGATTGAATGCAGGAATCATGAATCAAGAACTGCATTGTATAATGCACGGATGCTAAACATGTCGCAAATTGTAATGCTGTCGTCAGTTAACACCCAATAAACCAGAAGAGAGCTATAACATATTGCATAACCTAAACAAATATCAAACCCCAATGTGAATGACAACATTTAAGCCTGTAACATCTGTAACCCTTTTCTCCCACTCATCTTTGTCAAAAGAACTGACAATGGGTTGAAGCGAAGTGATTAAGTGACCTCATGGAAACCTGTCCGCTGGCATAACAGTGTTTCGCTTAACTTCTTTGAGTGGCATTTTAGAAGTTGGGAAGTACAATATAGAACAAACTTTATGGATAACAACTTCGTTTTATTCGTCAGTGCGACGTTTCGATACAGATTCTTGTACCGTTGTCAAGCATAAATGGAACATGAAGAAGGGGGAAGTATATATACTAGGCACATAAAGAAACTGTGCATACAAAATATAAAAACTAAATTTATCAAACCTGTGTAGACACATAAGGATTTAAACTCAGATATATTAGTGACATGTATCCAACATGCATGCACGTGCCACGTTCCGTGACGTCAGTGGGTTTGTCCTTGAGACGTGCAATACGTTGTTGCACGTGCATTCCGGGAAAGAGAAACAGAGCAAATGAATGCCACACAATACTGTCACTTTGGAAAGCTCAACGACAAGTGGCTGCACATTTCCACTGCCACCGGAACACCATTTCTGCACTGGTGAGACCCTACCAGAACACAAATGACGTCATTGATCGGCCACGTTCTGGACGTCTACGTGTAACAACGCCAAGACAGGACAGATGGATAAGGGTGACCCATCTTCGCCACACGTTTCAGACTGCAGTGATGACTGCCCGAACCATCCCAGGACTTCGCCGTATCCACCCCAACACAGTTCGACAACGTTTACGTCATCACGGGATCAGACCACGACGTCCCGCCATTATCCTGACACAACGTCATCGACAAGCTCGCCGAATGTGGTGCCGAAATCATGTCCGCAGACCCTTGTTTCGGTGGAGAAATGTTGTTTTTACAGATGAGTTTAACATTTCCCATAGTGATGGACGTCAACGTGCCTATAGACGCGTGGGAGAACGTTATACACAGGCCTGTGTCTTGGAGAGGAATCGCTTTGGTGGTGTTTCCGTGATGATTTGGGTGGAATAACAGCACGTCAAAGAACTCCTTTGGTGATTGTTCAGGGCAACTTAACTGGTGTGGGCTACAGGGATCAGATTCTTCGACCTGTGGCAATTCCTTTTCTGCAACGTCATGGCCCTGGGTTAACATTCCAACAGGACAATGCCCGCCCTCATACGGCAAGGGTTGCTATGGATTTCTTGCAACACCACAACGTTGACTTACTGCCTTGGCCTGCAAATTCACCGGATCTCTCCCCGATAGAGCATGTTTGGGACGAGATGGATCGACGTCTACGCCGTCTTCCTCATCCGCCAGATAACGTCCTTGACCTTGCAACAGAACTTGAGAGAATCTGGCATGACATCCCACAAGCCTTCCTTGCACGTTTGATAGGCTCTATGCGTCGTCGATGCACTGTTGTTCTCAATGCCGATGGTGGACATACCCGTTATTGAGCTGGTGACATGGTCGTTTGACCCCTGTCCCGCTTGTGGACTCGTGACGTCATTGTGATTGACTTTTCAATTGAAATTCTCCCGACTTGTTATGGTCTCATGATCCCTCCATTAAAGTTTATATGTACCTTTGATATTGTTATCGTACTTATCAACTGGGATAATAATTTGACAATGTACAGTTTCTTTATGTGGCTAGTATATATACTGAATGTAACAATGTAACAAAGAAAACAACATAAACAACATAATTAACATAATTGGCTAGGCAGTAAGCTGTATCGAAACGTCGCACTCACGAATAAAAAGAAGTTGTTATCCATAAAGTTTGTTCTATATTATAATGTTTCGCTTTGCTAGAAAACACAATTTTCATTTCCCGCGCAATAATCTCACACGTGGAATGTGACCAATGAGAGCCGTCTTCCAAGTCACTAAAATATCTACGGAAACTGTCGATGTTTACCGAAAAGAGGCCAGATATTTGTTCAAAGGAGAAGGTAGTGCTAATGCGAGGGTCAGTGGTCAAATATGAAATACAGTTAGACAAATTGAATACGATTAGCAGAAAGGTAAGATAATGACCTAAGAGCTCAACAAAATGTTTTTGTGAAAAACGAAAGGTTTAATTGAACCACACGTTAAAATAGTCGGGCTGTCCGGTTTTCAATCAGGTTTTTAGCATCGGGAGTGTCACCCTTGCGTATTTTATGTAATTGAGTGAAGCAGTAGAATTTTTTAAAATCTTTATTTCTTCACCGATTTCGTTGAACATGTGTTAATCATAACATAAAAAAAACAATATATGATTGCAAAAGTCTATTTTCAAAAATTCTTGTCCAAACAGTGATTCGATC